CTATTCCTATAAGTTATGAGGCCTGCCTTGAGAACTCCCACATCTGTTCTGTAACTTTGAACACAAAGAGCCCTGTGTTTTGTAATTGTCTCCAAGAAGAAAAGCTTTGCCCACACATCAAAGGTAGTTTAAAAGTTTAAAAGGGTTGCTGTCGCCCATAGACTGACAGCGTTGACAGACTGCCTGCCATCTGTCTATTTCTTGGTTACCCTTTCTGGATCGTCCTCCTACCACTGTGATTGGTGTTAATATGTGAGAGGCATTTGCAGGGTGAAAGCCTTCCAGAGCTATAAGATGTTATTGTTTTTATTCTTACTGCTGTTATTTAGGTGACAACTAGTCAGCATGGGACAATTTCTATAGGCTTTTTGTCTGCAGATTACCAGTTTACATTTTCTGCTTAATTTCTGTTACAGGTGTGATTCCCCCCAGTGAGTAGATCAGAGGTCTGGTAGCACTTCTTAAAGCAGTTAGAACATGAAGGGGTACTTAAAAGTCTTTAGCAGAAAACATGATGAAAAGTGAATGAGAAAGACAAAGCATGGTGGTTCTGGAAAAGTCTGTGCTTCTTAGGCTAGGAGCCTGGTGAGGAGGGGATTAGGACCCTGGATGTGGTCATTTATTGTCCTAAATCTTAGAAAATGTTACAACTTCAAAGATAGGCCTTGGGACATCAGAAGTTTACACCATTATTATATGTCACTTTAACTTTTCTGTTTCTCTTTTATTAAAGATATTTTGAAATACAAGAAAAACACATAGAAGAACAATAATTCAGCTCAACTACTTAAAATGCCTATTGCTACCTAAATAGTTTATCTACCTACATTGTTCCATATGCTATTTCATCTAACCTTCCATTAATATCATTTCTCCATCTCATCAATATTTTTAGAAAATGGAGATTCGAATAGCCGCACAGTATTTCATTAGGCTAAGCCTAAAACTGCCTCACTGGGAACAGGTTGGGGGGTGTGTGCACTTGGCCTCGCTCTGGGTTGCATTCTCCCCTATGCATGTGGACATTCTGTCACAGTAGCGTTCACTGATCTGACTGAAGAAAGAAGTTACTTAGGATCCCTGTCCTCCTAGCAAGCTAAAAGTTAAACAATATTTTTATTCTGACTAAGAAACATTTCTGGGTCCTTTTAAAAACATAATTCTTTTTTTAGTCTGCTGAATACAGGAACCTTATTTTCTATAAAAAAAAAATAATGGAATCATATTGATTCCGTTTGCATCTTTATTCTCACTCAGTACAGTGATTTTGATGAAGTGTCTGTCTTTTTGACCTTTTCGTAGAATGTCTACAAGTCAGATCTGCAGTGGCTGAGAGGCATCGGCTGGGTCCCCATTGGGTCGCTGGATGTGATCAAATGCAAGAGAGCTGCGGAGATCCTGAGCGACAACATCTACCGCCAGCCTCCAGACAAGCTGAAGTTCACCAGCGTGCCTGATTCCCTGGAACAGGTGCTGGCCAAGAGCAACGCCCTCAACATGAACAAGGTGAGCCCAGCTGCCTCCCGATCCAAGATGCCCCAAAATGTTATACCTCGATGACTAGTGCCTTCAAAGTAGTCATGGAGATGTAGGATCACATTTTCCCTTGAAATTACATACTTGTAACCTTGTAAGTCGTTTCAATTATTTTCACTTTTAATCTTAACACCAGTGGGAATACTCAAATCTCCAGTGGACTCATATCCAAATCTGATTATTTTTCCTAATTAGGTCAATAACAGCGCCTCTCATTTGATCTTTTTTATTTCTTATCTCAAATTGTTTTCAATGAAGCATCTTCCGTTATCTTACAGCGTTTATATACAGAGGCCTGGGACAAAGACAAGACTCAAATTCACATGATGCCCGATACACCGGAGATTGTGCTGGCAAGGCAGAACAAAATCAACTACAGCGAGGTAGGGAGGCAGGAGTCTGCGGGGCTGTGTTTCCTGTCATCCCTGCTGGGCTTCTGCTCTCGCAGGTGTTGGGTTTCTCGGGCCTGAGCAATCATGGTGCGTGCGGCTTTTCCATGTCAACACCCAGACTGTCTGCCCTTTCATCTTGGGTGTGAATATCATGTGTCATAGGATTCTGCAACAAACTGAAATCACGTTGTTTTCTCTGGTTATGACTTTTCCCAGGGAGTCAGTGGGACTTAGGACTATTTTTGACATTTCCAGGGTTAGGCTTGTCAGATAAACCACAGTCCCATTATTTATAACATTCTTCGTTATTTTTGTGAAATTCAAGTTCATCTGGGTGTGCTGTATTTTCATTTGCTAAATCTTCAACCTATCAAGAAGGACTCTAATAATATACGCCTCTTCCTACTTGGGCCCTGAATAAAACTGAGAAATAGAACAAAGGAATTGAAAAAGAAGTCAAGATCTCATTTTTAAACTACTGAAGCTATTTTTTTGGGGGGGGGGGTGCAGAAGTGGGGATTGAACTCAGACCCTTGTGCTTGCCAGAGAAGTGCTTATTCCATTGAGCCCTCTCCCCTTTTAAAAGACACATTTGTATGACAGCCTGCCAACCAGACCTCAGAATCAGGTTTCTTCACTCAGGTATAGGCTGCAGGCAGCAAGTGTTCATGCCAACCTATTGAGAGATGGGCGGCCGCTAGGCCAGCTCTGAGCAGGAGAAGCAGAGACCTGGACCGAGCACCCTGCTAATCCCATCGTGCCCAGCAGTTACTCAGTATCTGCACTCTAGGACAGACAAAGACCAGAGTTACAATGACGGAACTTCTTTTGTATAGAGAGGAAACCTCAAGCATGGGAAGGAATGTTCACCATCAATAACACTAATTTCTGATTTTTTTTTTTAAGTAAAATGTAGTGCTGAGGAGATAGTTCAACAGTCTGAGTGCCTGCCTGGCAAGCACAAGGTCCCAAGTTCGATCCATGGTACCCCATGCCCTAGATCCCTGGGCGTGCTGTACCAGCCCCAAAACCAGCTCTGGGGAGGCTGAGACAGGAGGATCACTATAAATCTGAGCTGTGTAGTGACACCCTGTACTAAATTAAAAAGAAAAATAGTAAATTACAGTTTTATAGACATCTGTTTTATTAATACTATATAGCTAAACTATAAAATCTTAAAGCTGAGATAGCTATTAACTATGCTTTAAGTATTTTTTTGGCAGAACCTGGGATAGCTATGATTTAAATACATTTTAAATCTTCTGCCTTGTTTTCTAAATATAAAATATTACATGATTATTATAAAAATTTAAACAATAAAGACATGAATGAAAGTGTGTTTATATTTTATATATAAATTAATAATAGTGAACATACACTGTCTTGCCCTTTTTTCACTTAGTAGTATGTATGAATTGATATTTTATCTTTCAGTCTTTATTATTAGATGATATTGATCTGTCTTGATATGAATATGAATATCATATTGGTCTGCAAATGATATATATTAATCTATAATTATATAATAAACATATAATCTATATTAATATCCATTGCTATATATCACTTGTTTCTAATACTATAAAGTTTTTTGTATGATAAGACATAGTTTATTTGTCACTTCCAGAAGCTTAAGTTGTCTCCAGTTCCTGTCCTTTAAAAATTATATGAGTTCAGTCACTTGATAATCTCCAAGGTGTTGCTGTCAGATCTTTTCCTTTAACTCTTTGATTTTCTGTCTTTAGACTCTGTATAAACTTGCCAATGAGGAAGCAAAGCAGAAAGGCTATGATCTGCGAGTCGATGCCATCCCCATCGTGGCGGCCAAGGCCTCCAGGGACATCGCGAGTGACGTGAGAAGCAGGGCGAGATGTTTAGGTGGATGGGCGGGAGGGAAGTTGAGCTAGTTACTGTGACAGGAAACGAATCCAGATGCCAATTCCAGCTCATTTACTAACTGAATTATTCTTTTAAATTAATAATTTTTATTAGGCTGGGTGTGGTGGCACATGGGTGTGATCCCAGCACTCTGCTGAGACAGGAAAATCATTGTGAGTTTGAGACCAGCCTGGCCGACAAAGTGAGCTCAAGGCCATCCTGGAGTGAACTGCAAGCCTTTGTCTTTAAAAGACCAAAATAATAATAATAATAATAATAATAATAATAGTAATAATAATAATTTTTATTAAAAAATACATTTTAACACAGAGTTTAATACTGAATCTATCTCTCAGTAAATCTCATTATCTCTCAATACCAGGGATTGAACTCAGAGGTATCCTAAACTTTGGTGTAAAGTTGAATCAGAATCTAAAATTTTTCATATTTATAATTATGATCAATTCTTTATATCTGGAGCATATAGCCCTCACAGAATTTTTTTTAAATATGAGCAAAATAGTTATATGCATTGATTCAATGTGAGCTAAAGACCCAGTACAGCCCAGTCTTAGAAATTCTACCTTTTGCCAAACCTACTCTATATTTTCTTCAAAAATTACCTTAAGTGTTTTCTACTGAATTCTTTTTAAATGAGAATAGAAAGCCAAAACAAAAAATGGTGATGAGCTGGAGAGATAACTCAGCAGTCTAAGCACCTGCCCAGAAAACGCAGGTACCCTGATTTGATCCCAGGCACCACAGACCATACTGGCCCTGGAATCCTGGGCATGCTGTGCCGGCCATCAAAACCAGGCATGGTGGCGTACGCCTGCAATCCCAGCTGTGGGGAGGCTGAGACAGGAGGAACTATGAGCCCAAGCTGCATAGTGAGATCATGTACCAAATAAATTTTAATTTTTTTGGCAGAATGCTAATTAATCTGATTAAGCAAAATTGCTGCTGCCTTTGTTTCTAGGAGCTTAATATCTCAAAGCCATAGGACTGTGTAGGTTGGTCTGTCTTCCCATTAAAGTACTGCTATGAAGTCTAATCAGAGTTTAAGATAAGTTAATAATCATAAACTCCATTTTTCTGCAAGAATTAAATATTCCAGTAACACAGTTATAAATTAATAATACTCTTAACCCTTTCTATTTATTTTATTTTTGAAATACCTCCCTTTTATTTCAGTACAAATACAAAGTGGGTTACCGCAAGCAACTGGGCCACCACATTGGTGCACGGAACATCGAGGATGACCCCAAGATGATGTGGTCCATGCATGTGGCCAAGATCCAGAGTGACAGAGAGTATAAGAAGGACTTCGAGAAGTGGAAGACCAAGTTCAGCAGCCCGGTGGACATGCTGGGCGTGGTGCTGGCCAAGAAGTGCCAGACCTTGGTGAGTGACGTGGACTACAAGCACCACCTGCACCAGTGGACATGTCTGCCCGACCAGAACGACGTCATCCACGCCCGGCAGGCCTACGACCTCCAGAGCGACGTGAGTGCCCAAGACCTGTGGTAGCCACATTGATGGTTGCAATACATAGTGACACACAGACAGTGGCCTAGGATTAGATAGGACCTCAGAAAGATGATAGTTTTTGTCTCTATAGCTTGCTTTGAAAAATACCCTTTACTTTCTAAAAAGAGACAGTCTAAAGCCATGACACTATTTCCAGTTTCACCTTCCTATTTTAAAAGACATAGATATTCCTTTTCCAAAGTTTCCTGGTTTTCTTTAGCTTTGAAACCATGTCATGACAACTGCAGGTATCACTTGCTTTTGTGTTTGATCTCACCAGAACATTTATAAATCTGATCTGCAATGGCTGAGAGGCATCGGCTGGGTCCCCATTGGGTCGCTGGATGTGATCAAATGCAAGAGAGCTGCGGAGATCCTGAGCGACAACATCTACCGCCAGCCTCCAGACAAGCTGAAGTTCACCAGCGTGCCTGATTCCCTGGAACAGGTGCTGGCCAAGAGCAACGCCCTCAACATGAACAAGGTGAGCCCTAACTTAAAAAAAAGAAGGAAGCATTATAGGCTATTTAGAAAGTCTATGAGTAATTAAGTTAATCCTTTTTTGTTTTATGCAACTAAATTCCTCTCCAAAGCATAGAGATTGGATTGAATTCTGTGTTTTCTTATATAAGAGCTTAAATATACATGGGAGAATTTCTGCTTTGATATCCGTTATGAAATAGCCAGGCAAGAGTAGGACACTGGGTGCACTGGTGTATGCTTCTAAATGCCAGCACTCAGGGAGGCTGAGGGTGGAGGATCACAAGTTTGAATCTCACCTGCACAAGTTAGTGAGACTTTGTCTCATGGGAATGTAACTCAGTGGCAGAGCACCACTGCATTTGTTCCCTCAGACCCTGCCCCAGAAAGAATAGGACATCAGCTTGTGAGTCAGATTATCTGCAATCTGTGACAGTTACTCATCTTTTGGTATCAGTCTTTTTTGCTGGGAACCTATCTAGGTAAGCACAGATCAAGCAAGTGAAACATAAATCTCTATTATATTTATTAAAAGGAAGTATAGAGATGATATATCCAGATATACTGACAGTTAATAAATAACATCAAATGAAGAAAGCCATAGGAAAGATTTGTTAATATAGCTACAATACACATGGATGTGTTGTGTCTTTCATTTAACCAGGGTATGGGTAACATGGTAACATATGTGTATTTTCTTCCAACATGTTAGTATATGTCTATGTTTAATTACAATAAATGTCCTATAAAATAAAAGAAGCTGAAAATAATTTTCACATACAGTACACAGTGCACAGAGCAAGAGGAGGGCTTTCTATTTTGTTGTGATCCTTTCATTAAAAACTCCTATTTTCAAAAGCTGTTTTTCTGATTCATTCGCTCGATCCTTCACAGCGCTTATACACAGAAGCCTGGGACAAAGACAAGACCCAAATCCATATTATGCCTGATACACCTGAAATTATGTTGGCGAGACAAAATAAAATAAATTACAGTGAGGTAAGACCAGCTGCTTTATTTCCTTGCCCTACTCACATTGATTTTTTTGCTATTGTGGAAACTTTAGAATTAGGGATTTAATGATCACATAAGCCAATTAGCTTAGTTTTGTGTTTTATACTCTTTATCCTTCCTTGACGTATATCATCATATTAAAAATAAGTAGACATAAAGATAAATAAGCACCAGAATGTTTCCATATCAGAAGGAAAAAATCTTCACCAAAAATTAATGGCTAAAACAAATTATGACTTGAATAAAAATGAAGAATAATTTTTAAAAAATGATTGTTGTTATTTGTCATATTAGAATTTGCTTCAAAATTTGTTTTGCATGTTTGTTTTCTTTTATCTTACCTGTGAAATGGGGTGAAAAGCCCTACTCTGAAAAATTCTGCAATGATAAATGAGGTAAAATGAATATATAACATGCTTTCCGGGGTCCTGGCAGAAGCTAGTTTCCCTATAGATTTTAATTTCTTTCCTTTACCTTCAACTCACCATCAGAATTAGATTGATTTTACATGCTCTAAATAACTTGAGGTACATTTACAAGAATTAAAATAAGAATTCTAAAATTCACTCCCTTCAAAATTGTCCAAAAACAATAAAACAGTCTTTTATAAAACTTCTTCAGCTCCACTAAGCTTGTCTCATGTATCTTTCCAACCTAGAAATCTTCCTGAATAAATAGCTTCATGCTCAATTGCTCTTGCCCATATCAAGAATTTTTCTGGCTAATTCAAGAATACTATTTCTTACACATTCATGCATCTTCATTTAAAAAAAAAAAGGAGATAATAATTTTCTTCAGTTTAAAAACACCAGAAAGTTTGTGTATAATTCTCAAGATTTGATTGAGTTTCTCATGTTATCTTACCCACATTATTTACTTTTGCCCATAGTACAATGTACTCCTATAGAAGAGGCACACTTCTTTCAGATAATCATGACAAACAAAATGAAGTGGAAGTGATTTGCTTTCTTCAGCACTAGAAAGCAGAGCCAGGGTCCAGGCTGACCGTGTTTGTCTGGCCCTGGTTGGAGTCCCTTCTGCGTGAGAAATGTTCTCCTGGCCCCAGAGCACCTCTGTTGGCTCAGATCCTGTCAGAAGGTTTCTTTTGAATAAAGCAGATGAAATTGCTTCTATCCCAGAGTGTGACAAAGCTCTTATGCCTGTTTCTTTTGTTTATCTGAGGTGAGTTGAGGTAGATTTTCTTTTCAGATTGCTGAGAGGATATCAAGGTATTTTTTAAATCCAAAAATTTTCAGATATATTTAGTTCCTTTAAAATTGTAAGATTATGTTAATGTCCTCTGTTTTCTAAAGATTATATTTCAAAATGCCTTCCCTGAATTTCTTCTCAAGCCATTACCAATGATTCATTCCTTTCTTCACTCCATAAATGTAAAAGAAAATAAGCACATCTTATTTTCTTCTCTTAGATTGTCATTTACCAGTTTAGTTCTCCTGGTTAAATAAGCCACATGAAGGCTTTAAAATACACTCTTGATGATAATGAAACTTGTTTTCTTTGAAACACTGTCTTTTTCTTTAACTTTTTAAAAATGTTTTTAGTACAAGGTCTATAGGGTCTCACTATGTAAATTGGACTTGTAGTGATTCTCCTGTTTTCAGCCTCCCAAGTGCTGCGATTACAGGCCGGCGCCACCATGCCCGGTCTCAGTTGCTGTGTCAGCACATCCCAGGGGTGGGGCCAGCACGGCGCGGATCGAACCCCCGTCACTGTGCTCTGCCTAAGCAGGTGCTTTAGTCCATTGATCTATCTGGCCGGCCCTAACGCTGTCTTTTTCAAATGATGGAAAAATTAGATGTTTGGTTTGAAGCAATGAGATGAATCAACTACTTTTTCCTCACTTATACTGTGACAAGGTAGTCAAGCATTTATTCTATGATAAAAAATATAATAGATGAAAGATTTAATTTTTTGTTATAAAAATATTTATAGACATTTTAAGCAACATAACTTATTCTATCTCAAGGACATTAAGTTTATTCTTATTTTTATATTAAGATTTTTTTTAAATGTAGTTTGTACAGGGTCTCACTGTGCAGCTTGGACTCATAGTGATCCTCCTGCTTGCAGCCTCACCTGCACTGGGATTATAGGTGTGCGCCACCACCCCCAGTCTTGGCACGGCACGCTATACCAGGCATCGAACCCCATTCTCTGTGCTTGTCTAAGCAGGCACTTAGTCTGCTGAGCTATCTCTCCAGTCGTATAGACTTCTGATTATGTCTCTACATAGGGTGTAGAGATGAGCTGTCTTCAAACTTCAGCTACCTTTGCACTTCACAAAGGCTTTCCAGGGCTATGACAGCTATGCTCACTTACAGCAAATTAATGAGCACAGTGGACTTCCATGCACTCTACCTGGGAAGGAAACTTCAGGCCCCACAGGCCCTTTAGAGTCCTGCCTGTCCTCCTTCAGAGGCCCGCCTTTGTCCTCCTTTAAAAAAGACACAGTTTAAAGGTGGAGAAACTAGAGAAGAAGAAAAAATGCAACTCATGCTCTTTAATTATCAATAAAAAAAAATAACTGTTACAAAGAATGTTACTGGGACATTTGGTGGAATTTGAACAATCACTGTATATTAGAAAATAATATTACATCAATATTAAGTTTCTGGTGTTCGATGCATATATTGGGATTATGTGAAACTTTATTGTAGGAGATAAGTGGTGAAACATTTAAAGGCGAAGTTTATGATGTGTATAATTTTCTCTTAATTAGTTCAGCGGTTAAAACGAGCAATAAGAAACAACATGTACACAGTACATATTTATACACATGTAAACAGGAAGAGAGAGTACAGCTATGGCAACAGTGTTAATCAGCTGGTTATTTGGGTATTCAGTGTACCATTCTGACAACTTCTCTGTACATTCAATTTTTCAAAATAGGGGAAACATACATTTTAAAGTATTAAAAAACATACATTGCACTCTTTGACTAAATGTGATTACATAAAGATTTTATTTTTAAAGGAACAAAAATGAATATCTGGCCCAACAATTACTGTGAAGCACATCTGAAATATTAAAAGAAAACCCTGGCCCAGCGTAGTGGCACATGCCTGTGATCCTAGCACTCTGGGAGGCTGAGGCAGGGAGTTTACAAGGTTAAGCCTCACCTGGGAAATTGAGATTCTTTCTCAAAATTTAAAATTAAAAATGGTCAGGGTAGGGGTTGGGAGATATAGCTCAGTGGTGTAAGTGCCTGCTGGGTGAGCACAGGTCCCGAGTTCAATCACTGATACCACAGGAAAAAAAAAAAAAAAAGATCTGGGGATTCAACTTAGTGCAAGGTATTGGGTTCTACCCTCACTATCACAAGACATAGATAGAGATATATTGAACTTGAGTTGGAAGAGGCAAGTCCGGTCTCAAAATGGAGGGCCATGATCCAAAGGAGCCAGAGCAATTGAGGAAGCTGTTTATTGGTGGTCTGAGTTTTGAAACTACCGATGATAGTTTAAGAGAACATTTTGAAAAATGGGGCACACTCACAGATTGTGTGGTAATGAGAGATCCTCAAACAAAACGGTCCAGAGGCTTTGGTTTTGTGACTTACTCTTGTGTTGAAGAGGTGGATGCAGCAATGTGTGCTCGACCACACAAAGTTGATGGGCGTGTAGTGGAACCAAAGAGAGCTGTTTCTAGAGAGGATTCAGTAAAGCCTGGTGCCCATCTAACAGTGAAGAAAATTTTTGTTGGTGGTATTAAAGAAGATACAGAAGAATATAATTTGAGAGACTACTTTGAAAAATATGGCAAGATTGAAACCATAGAAGTTATGGAAGACAGGCAGAGTGGGAAAAAGAGAGGATTTGCTTTTGTAACTTTTGATGATCACGACACAGTTGATAAAATTGTTGTTCAGAAATACCACACTATTAATGGGCATAATTGTGAAGTGAAAAAGGCCCTTTCTAAACAAGAGATGCAGTCTGCTGGATCGCAAAGAGGCCGTGGAGGTGGATCTGGCAACTTTATGGGTCGTGGAGGAAACTTTGGAGGTGGTGGAGGGAATTTTGGCCGTGGTGGAAACTTTGGTGGAAGAGGAGGTTACGGTGGTGGAGGAGGTGGCAGCAGAGGTAGTTATGGAGGAGGTGATGGTGGATATAATGGATTTGGAGGTGATGGTGGAAACTATGGTGGTGGTCCTGGTTATAGTAGTAGAGGAGGGTATGGTGGTGGTGGACCAGGATATGGAAACCAAGGTGGTGGATACGGTGGTGGTGGAGGAGGATATGATGGTTACAACGAAGGAGGAAATTTTGGTGGTGGTAACTATGGTGGTGGTGGGAACTATAATGATTTTGGAAATTACAGTGGACAGCAACAGTCAAATTATGGACCCATGAAGGGGGGCAGTTTTGGTGGAAGAAGCTCTGGCAGTCCCTATGGTGGTGGTTATGGATCTGGTGGTGGAAGTGGTGGATATGGTAGCAGAAGGTTTTAAAAAACAACAGAAAAGGGCTACAGTTCTTAGCAGGAGAGAGAGCAAGGAGTTGTCAGGAAAGCTGCAGGTTACTTTGAGACAGTCGTCCCAAATGCATTAGAGGAACTGTAAAAATCTGCCACTGAAGGAACGATGATCCATAGTCAGAAAAGTTACTGCAGCTTAAACAGGAAACCCTTCTGGTTCAGGACTGTCATAGCCACAGTTTGCAAAAAGTGCAGCTATTGATTAATGCAATGTAGTGTCAATTAGATGTACATTCCTGAGGTCTTTTATCTGTTGTAGCTTTGTCTTTTTCTTTCTTTTCATTACATCAGGTATATTGCCCTGTAAATTGGGGTAGTGGTACCAGGAATAAAAAATTAAGGAATTTTTAACTAAAAAAAAAAAGAAGACATAGATAAATAAATAAATAAATAAATAAATAAATAGTTGGGGATATAGTTCAGTGAAAAGATCCTAGGTTCAATCCCTAGCACTACAATAAATAAGTAAATAAATAAAGATCTTTCAAATAGACAATTTCATTCATTAGTACACACCCACTAAAATAATTTTGAGTCGAGACCATGAGCTCTTATAAGTCACAATAATCTCATGAAGAAAAGAATACCTTTTCACTTTTTATGTTTAAAACTTGTTAAAATGTGTATTTTGCGTTACTAAACACCAATATTAGCAATTGTTTTAAGTTTCATGTTGTTTTCATTGAATGCGAAATTGGTTAAGATTCATGAAAACGAAGAAACAAAGACTTCAGGAAAAAAAAATGGGGGAGGTTAATGACTGCTGGTACAGATGATTTGTCTGAGGTGTTTCCCAAACTGTGGTCCACAGGACAACTGCATTTTGCCTTTCTGTGTGCATCTGTCCTGCCACAGAAGCTGCACAGCAGTGGGTCTTAATTCGAGGGAAGAAACAAATAGAATTTTTATCATTTGAGTAATTTTGGCTCATGAATCTTGGGCACTTGCCATTTTCACATCTGCTACCAATTTCTAGCGCCCACCACCGCTAAGCAGGAGCAAATCAACATTGACAGGGCCGGGCAGACACAGCGATTGTCCTCATTTTAACATCGTTTTGCTAGCAGCTGAGGCAGGAGGATTGTTGCTTGTTCAAGACCAGCCTAGGAGCTGGGGAGATGGCTCAGTAGAATAAGTGCTTCCCTGGCAAGCACAAGGGTCTGAGTTCAATCCCCAGTTCCACCAAAAAAAAAGACCAGCCTGGGCTTTGAAATGAGCTCAAGGCCAGCCTGAGATGCATAGTGAGATTTTGTCTGAAAAAAATAAAAATAAAAAAATAAAATTGCTGAATATTTAATTTCCATTTAATTTAGTATTTTAGATGAATAGAGTGCATTTTTTAAACACCAGTAAACTTTTGTATCTAAAACTAATCTTCCTTTGACAGAAATACAGTTTTAGAGTTAATGTGAGTTCTGTGCCTAATAGCTGCTATTTCTTTCCTCAGAGCCTCTATCGCCAGGCCATGGAAGAAGCCAAAAAGGAAGGTTATGATTTAAGAAGTGATGCCATTCCCATCGTGGCTGCCAAGGCCTCTCGCGACATCGCCAGTGATGTAAGAGCTGACCCATACTCAGAGGGGTTATCCTCAGGTCCACAACACCCATGGGGAATCACACTATTGGAGTGCAGCCAGAAGTCTCTCATCATTGTTCCCCTTAACTCCCTCCATTGTACACACACAAACTGAGGCCAAGATAGGAGGAAGCTTAGCCCAGGTCACAGTATCATCATGTCAAAATCTACTGTGGGATGCAGTTTCTTTCCTTTTTGTCTGTTGGTCTTTGCTTAATAGGAGTGAATGCCTCACTTAAAGCTAGATGGACACACACTGAGATACTCCTAGAACCTCATGAGTTCTCCTGAGATACACCCAAGGCAAAGATGACAGAAAAGAATTAGATTTGACTGGGTTCACTACATAGGAAGGAGAGGGCACTGGAAAACACAAAGCCTAAAAGTCTTCACTGTGTGGTCCACAGAATCAATGTTTCTTTCCCTATAAATGAAGACATTAGATTTGTAGACATCTAAAAAAAGATTCAAAAGTAGAAAAATTATCCTTTTTGTATATTTTCATGTAAAAAATACATACAATTTACCATTTTAACTATGTTCAAGAATACAATTCAGGCCAGTGAGATAGCTCAGCAGTTTAAATCACCTACTTAGGCAAGCTTAGGCAAAGCTCAAGGGCCGCAGTTCCCTCCTTGGCACCACATGTTGCACCAGCCCCACCTCCAGGGCAGGCTGAGCTGGCCCCCCCAAAAAAAGTATACCATTCAATGCTGCTGATCCTGTTCACATTGTTGTGTAACAGATCTCCATAATGCTTTCATTTTGCAAAACTGAAACTCTATACCCAAGAGTTTTGGATGAAACTCTCTTCCAAAACTTAAACTGTACATCATTCTATTATGGACAGTAACAGAAATTGCACATTCCTAAACTACCCTAACTGGATTATTTTTGAAAAAGAAACTATTTCTCAGACTCACTCAGAAAAAGATTAGGATGAACCATCTAAATACACCTCAAGGAGTGCTGTCAGGTGGTTTATTCACATGACTTACAAGGCATTGTCACCACTCCTCACTGTCTTGGGCTCATCCTGTGATCTATATAAAGGAATTGTCATGGAGTTCTGTGGAGAGATAGGTGCCAATGACACCATACTCTCTTCAGGAAAAAGCCTTCCTGTGTGCAATATGGCAGCAACTTGTTAAAGGAAACCTCCAGTCATCTGAAGGATTTCACAGAACAACAGCCCACAGAAAGAGCATCAGGGAACAGTCCTCAGTGCCTCCTCCTTACATACTGGGTTCTCTCTTTCAGTATAAATACAAAGAAGGCTATCGGAAGCAGTTGGGCCACCACATTGGTGCCCGAGCCATACACGATGACCCCAAGATGATGTGGTCTGTCCACGTTGCCAAAATGCAGAGTGACCGTGAGTACAAGAAAGAATTTGAGAAATACAAGACAAGGTTCAGCAGCCCCGTGGACATGCTGGGTATTGTTTTGGCCAAGAAGTGCCAGACCTTGGTCAGTGATGTGGACTATAAACACCTTCTGCATGAGTGGACCTGTCTCCCTGACCAGAACGATGTCATTCAGGCACGAAAAGCCTACGACCTCCAGAGCGATGTGAGTACCCTGACCCCTGGGTCTCAGGTTAAAAGCAGATCTGGAATGTAGGCATGGTTCCAACTGTGTCTGTACCCTGGGACCTGATAGTTCACACTACACATGGCTGACTGTCTAAGAAGAGTTTCTCAAGAGAAGTACTGCAATTTGTTTTTACAGTTTTTCTCCTCCAAAAGTTATGCATAAAGGAGGAAATAAATATTATTAATTCTGTATCAATATCTATCTTCCTAGTGCTATAAGTTGCCTTTGAGGCAGATGGAACTGGGCACCCCCCTAAAGTGTATCATTATCAATTTTAAGCTGAAGGGGTAGTGTTGTTCACAGAGGGTGGAGTGGAGAGAGTGGGAGGAAAAGCACACTATGCCAAATTACTTTAATAAATATTTATATTTTACATCTGCTGACAAGAAAATTCTGGAATATTCTTGTATTTTCCAAAATCAATCCTCAAATTTTTTTAGCATTTGGTGTATCTTATTGAGAGTCAAATAAAATGTCTAACTAGGTAAGCATGTGATATCTATGTGTCAGACTTCTTTCACACATTTGCTATTATGTCACTTTTGAAGCTGGAGATGACAGCAGGAGTGTTTGTGTTTGCAATATTCGGACACCACAAGTGTGTGGTTGTATTTGGAGTTGTTAGAAGACATTTTCAAAAGTTAAAGAAGTCTTGCTTCAGGGTAAAAACTTCGTAATCCTGTCAAGGGCAAGACCATAACTTTTAAAACATTTTTTTTCATCATTATTGGTACAATCATAATTGGTGTGATTCTGAGGGGAAAACATCCTTGCAAGTGATTGACTGTGCTGGGAGCTTTATTTATCCATCAAGTTTTTATTTCCAGAGTATGATTTACTTGTGACTGTACATCTGAAACACTAATGAACACATTTTTTCTATTGATCCTCAGAACTTGTATAAGTCAGACCTTGAATGGATGAAAGGCATTGGCTGGGTTCCAATTGGTTCCCTGGAAGTCCTTAAAGCCAAGAGAGCCACAGAGATACTGAGTGATAACATTTACCGCCAGCGTCCAGACGCACTAAAATTTACCAGTGTCACCGACTCTCTGGAGCAGGTGTTGGCAAAGAATAACGCACTGAACATGAATAAGGTGAGTCTTTAGTCCTTACTGTTAGCTGTCAGAAGTTTCCATTGAGCATGGAGAGAATTCTGTCACATCATTACATTTCAACAATTACTATAACATTTATGATACCTTCTTAAAATAACTTCTCTATGGTAATACCATAGTTACTTAGTGATACTTCAAAATATTAAACTGATGTTTGAAATGCTATGTTGCAATGAATCCATAATTCTTTAATAATTAAAGAATTAAATTCCTGAAGAATTTTAATAAAATACAAAGGTAAGCCAAGCATGGTGGCACACATCTGTAATTCCATTATTCCAGGAGACTGAGGCAAGAAGATTGAAAGTTCAAGCCCAATCTGAGCAATTTAGGATAATTTAGTGAGCTAACATTATAAAATAACTTAGTGAGACCCTGTCTCACAATGAAAAAGGGCTGAGGACGTAGCTCATTGCAGAGGCCCTGGATTCAATTCCCAGTACTGAAACTAGAAGGTAGGAATTTATACAGATGTAATATTTTATTTCTACTGTGTATACAACAGAAGTGACTGGCATATACTCAAAAGGAAAATGCTTATGAACACCAACACAGGTTTTTTTTTTCTTTCATTTTTTGATAGCGCTTATATATTGAAGCCTGGGAAAATGACAAGAAAACAATCCATGTCATGCCTGACACACCAGAAATCATGCTAGCCAAACTCAACCGAATAAACTACAGTGATGTGAGTAAAGTGTCGCTCTTGCAATGAACAGAAGAGCCAACAGGCCCTGCTGCAGCTGCCTCCTTAGTGAAATGTCTCAACTAATTCATTATATACCTCCAAACCGACAGTGTCGGAAATGTCGCCCTTGATTCAGTTGTGGACCATGTCTGAGTCCACGGAGGAGTCCAGCATTCTACTAACAGGCTGTCGGGGAGTACAGATTGAGAAATGTCCTAGTAGTAACCATATACCTAAGCCTCCCCTGTGGGTCAGGGTGAGCGTCTGGTCATTGCAGTTGGTTCTCCATATCCATGGGTTCCACGTCCACAGAATCAATCAACTGTGGAGCAAAATCATTTTATTTAATAATTGTACCAGTACCAAATACATTTTCTCATTCTCATTATCATTTGCTGATTATTTTTCTTATTATTCTCTAAGGAAAATCATATGACAAGTATTTATGTAGCATTTATGTGCCATACATATGTATAATTCATTATATATATAATTACGCATTATACACATGTAAATGCACATGTGTACATATTGTACATATGTAAATGCATATGTATTATGCATTAAATAAAATACACAGGAGGAAGCGCACCGGTTATATACAAATTATGCCATTTTGGGTAAAGAGTTTAGCATCAAAGGATTTTGGTATTGGGGTTGGTATAGAGATTCCTGGGACAAATCCTCCTGGATACTGAGGTACAGCTATATTTTATCCAGTAACTGTAAGGAGCAGGCATGAAGCTGTAACTCAGTGAGTCATTATGCCCTGTATTATTTTGTTGCTTCAGTGTGTGTTTGTATAACTTGCCATGGTTTGCAAGGTCTTTTTAAACCCTCTTTACTAGGAAAATATTTTCATAAGAGAAATGAGCCCAGAACCCATGGTCCTTGCTGGCAAAGTGAGAAAAAATAAGAACAATCCACTGAGATTTTCATTAAGTCAAATATATTCAAGTTTTAAGCATCATTCTTATTTTTTTCTCCTTCAGTATTAAGATGGCCTTTCCTTTTATAGAATGGTCATAGTAGTAAATAGTTATTTTTTACATGTGCTTGTTAGGCAAAATAAAAATTTAACCACCAAATACTGATTCCCTTCAAATTTTTGAAATTTATCGGTCAATAAAATCTGAAAATTTAGAACAAATGCCTTAACCATCAGTGAGCACCATGGAACATGGTTATCTATAAGACCACCTGAATTCTTGACTTTGCGACTTGTACAGTTTAAATGATGACAGAGGAAATTTACCAACAACAAGCCAGCTTTACTTTTTATGAAGAAGTGCTGATCAGTGACTCTTTTCCACAGAAACTTTATAAACTTGCTCTGGAAGAGTCCAAGAAGGAGGGCTATGACTTGCGTGTTGATGCTATTCCAATTCAAGCTGCCAAGGCTTCTAGAGACATTGCCAGCGATGTAAGTCAACATTTTTGAAAGAAGCCTTTCTTACTCAAGGGTATTGACAAATAGAGATTATTTGAATTTTCTTGCCAGAACTTATTGTCCCTGCAGCTAAATCAATTCCTTCATAGGCAAAGTTGCAAATTTTTAAAAAGAAAAAGAAAGAACGGGATTAAATACTACATCCATAGTATCTGTTAATCAGTCAAAGATAAAGACATAATTTTTAAAAATAACTGTTTTAGCTGGGTAGGGTGCAAGCCTGGAATATCAGAAGGTAGAGGCAGGGCATTGGGAATTTGAGGCCAGGCTGATTCGTACAGCGAGTTCAGGACAAACAGCACTTACATAGAGAGACCCTGTCCCAAAGTAAAAACAAAGACAAAAATGAAACGTGCTTTATTTCTGAGCTTCAGAAGTTAAGCATCATCTAGTCCCTAAGTTTATGAAATTAGAGACTGATACCACAACTAAATCAACTAATACACATGTGAACTCTTTCTTACTATTTCTGGAAGACAAGATGGTGTTGTGTTGGTAAAATTTTGTTTTGTCCTTTGTAACTACCCATGGGGCTCCCTTATGAAGAGGCCCCTTACAAGACACAAGAACAGACTGAAGTGAGCAAAGCTCTTTCTTACCACCCTTTGTGTTTCTCTACTTTTCCTCTCATGAGAAATACCCTGAGGGTGTCCTTGTCCTCAAGTGTACAGGCCTAAGGACATACAGATTCCTGGATGGGTCCCTTGCCTTAGACTCCTGCTTTATCCCTTCTGTTACCAAAACATTTTTCAGTTACTGAGCTAGAGAGGCCCATGCAATGACTGTGTCATGGTAAAAACAATCTTGATTTAATGTTCTTGAGTTTTAAAAGTAGGTAGAATCATAATCCCATGGTACGACTCTTCCCTGGCTAGTGATGCTGACAGGCTAGGAAAGGAGGTTATTCTTGGAGACACATTAAACTTTATCTAAATGTAACACATGTTGTTAAGGGGAATTCACTATAAAATGAGCAGAGATGGGTGTGGTGGTACACGCTTGTAACCTCAGAACTCTGGAGGACGGAAGCAAGAGGATTGTAAGTTGAGCCAGATGTTTGGGTGATTTAGTGAGATGCCATTTCCTGTTTTAAAACATAATACATAGATAAATAAACAAATATCTAGGAATGTAGATCAGTGTGAAGACCCTGGTTTATATTCCCAAGACTAGGGGTCAGGGATGGAACTCTAAAAGCAAGGGGAATATTTTAAAGTATTCTTCGTGTCAAACATTAGAAACAATAACCTGCCTTTAAGTAGATGCTCCACTAGATTCATAGATGTTTTCCTGTTAGTTGTTGAGGAATCTGATGTATACTAGACAGTGTAGGTTAGAGAAAGGGACAGCATATTAGGGTGAGGAGCTCTGTAGTCTTGGCCTCAACCCTGTCACCTACTTGTGATATGATCTTCAGGTTTCTATTTTACAAAATGGCATTGGTGATCTTCACCTTTCTCCTTCATGATAGTAGGGGGAAAATTTGAAAATAAATAGTGTGTGTTTCTAATTAGACTTCCACCCCTTTTCCTTCTTCAGTACAAGTACAAGGAAGGTTACCGCAAACAGCTTGGCCACCACATTGGTGCACGAAACATTAAGGATGACCCCAAGATGATGTGGTCCATCCATGTGGCCAAGATCCAGAGTGACAGGGAATACAAGAAGGACTTCGAGAAGTGGAAGACCAAGTTCAGCAGCCCAGTGGACATGCTGGGCGTGGTGCTGGCCAAGAAGTGCCAGATCCTCGTGAGCGACATAGACTATAAGCACCCTCTCCATGAGTGGACATGCCTGCCAGATCAGAACGATGTCATTCAGGCTCGGAAGGCCTATGACCTGCAAAGCGATGTAAGTGGCTTAATGCTCCTCAAGTATTTGTTTAAAGTCTTTAAAGGTGGTATTCTAGGCACCAGGAGCCTGAGACAGGAGTATCACCATGAGCTTGAGGCCAGCCTGGCCTACAAAGCAAGTTCCAGGCCAGCCTGGGCTACATAGTGAGTTCAAGGCCAACCTGGACTACATAGTGAGACCCTGTCTCAAAAAAAACTAGAAACAAACAAGCAAACAAACCACTAACAAATAAAAAAAGGATTCTAAATTTTTTGTTATCGAATCTTTTAGTAGTCTGGTAAAACCCATGAACACTTTCTCAGGACAATGTCATGAAATACATAAAATGAAATAAGTATATTATTGTTAAAAGAAATCAATCATGACATGTGGTTGTGAAAAATAATCAAGGCTGTGATATAATAAGACATATGCTTTTAATTGCCATATTAAATAATGGCAACTACAGGTATAATAACTAGGTATGCAGTATAACTAATTCCAAAGAAGTGATTTGCATAAATATCTTAAGATATTACACTAACAGTGCATGAAAACTTGGTGATATCTGTGGCGTACAGAGTCACATTTTGTGTTAGTACTGCCATGATCCATTGCCTGTACTTTTAATTAATGAAATGTCATATTTCAGTTAATAGTTAATGCATAAGAGGATGCTATTTCTTTTCTAAATTCACTGGTTAAGGATTTATGGTTTAACACAAGCTGATTTTTCAAAGGAATTGATTGTATCACATCATTTTATTGACTTCTCATTCTTGTAGGAAGTATTATAACTTGGGAATGAAAGTTTAGAAGTGAATCACACACATTTTGATAATTTTTCTGGGAATTAGTAAACAACCACACCCTAGAAATACATTTGCACTTTTTTATTCTAAAAATTAAATCTAGATTTTTAGCGCTGAGTTGCAGCCCCAGTTCTTTTTCATTTTGGAACAAAGTTTTGCTAAAGCTGTAAGTTGAGCAGACGAGGCTCACACTAGCAGTCCTGCTGCCTCAGGCCCTCAGCGCTTAGGTTACAGGTGGCACCACTGTGCCTGGCTGTTGGCCGCATTTTTTTGTTAGCCAGTAGATTCTTGTCTGTGGACTCAACTGCTACCTTATTTTTATTGTAGCTCCTACTTTTGGTCAGGCTCTGACTAAACACTGACTTCTGGAAGAATGAGGAAAAGCAGTGGCTTTTTTTTAAGTTCCAAAAAGTCATAAAAATGAAAAGAATTGTTACACTTACTTATGAGAGAGATTATCCTATTGGTAGTTATTTAAGTTCAAGGAAGAAAAATGAAAAAGTAAATGTCTTTTTTACTTAAATTTTAAGACACGACAAGAGATGTGATAAATAAGATGAAAAAGACGTGAGTTCTTTGATTTAGAAACATACACTTAGTCGTTTGAATCAAAATGCCATTTTTCCTTGTCCCCAGAAAACATTAACTCATATGTGGTGTGGTGGTAGTGTGCATCCCTGTGGAAAGCACGCCACGTGAATGGCTGTCAAGGCTGCTGCTCAGTAAGGGAGGCACCCACGTGTGACAGAGTGCGACTCCCAAACGGAGGCTTGGCCAATCAAACCAGAGAATAAATAGGAGACAGGCAGTAATTTCCTTCAAAGGGGTTTATATCACTGAAATCATGTAGTAGTAAATAGATTGTATATGTCTTTAAGATAGCAGAGAAGCTGGGTGTGGTGGCACATGCCTGTAATCCCAGCTCCTGGGAGGCTAAGGCAGGAGGATTCCTGTGAGTTTAAGGCCAGCCTGGGAAACATAGTGAGTCCAAGTGTGACTCTCTCTCAAAACAAAAACCCAGCAAAGCGTGCTCACTTCAGCAGCATGCATACTAAAACAGCAAATCTCAGCTCTCCCCACAGATAAGGCATCTGACCTGCCACTCCAAACAAAGTAAGGCACCCCTGTAGATCTGCCTAGAAACTTACACAAGTCAGCTACAGTATGTGTTAGGTCAAGATCAGGTACCAGCGTGGCCAGGTAATGTTTATAAATATTCAACATTACTTCATTTCCAGGCTATTTACAAGGCTGACCTGGAGTGGCTGAGAGGCATCGGGTGGGTTCCCATCGGCTCTGTGGAGGTTGAGAAGGTCAAGAGAGCTGGAGAAATCCTGAGTGACAGGAAGTACCGCCAGCCAGCAGACCAGCTCAAATTCACATGCATTACAGACACCCCGGAAATTGTCCTGGCAAAGAGCAATGCCCTCACAATGAGCAAGGTGAGTCCTCGGCAGTTTCTTGTTGTCAGGGGCATACCTACCACAGACTCATTTTATAAAGTGAAAACTGCCAGGATGGGTCTCCCCAGAAAGGACATGAAGCAGCTGGTCCTCCTGCAGGCCTGCAGTAGGTCTGCCTGGATAGCCATCAGCTGCCCCCCCCCAACACAGGCCCTGTAATTCTCCACATGCAAGTGAAAACACAGCCTGGCATGAGTTGCCTAGAGTAACACACACACACCCTCCAGTGCTACCAGTCAGCCCGAGATAGCAGCATCACCTTCTTTATGCAGAGCCTACCCAGTCTGTTGGTTTCTCCCTGTCCACATAACACACAGCATTTCACAGCAGTATTAGTAGACAGCTTGAATTAGTTACCTGATTTGGTCTTAGGCTGAGGAAATCCAAGATAGGAAGAAAGATGCTATTTGCGCTTTCAGTTTTATTACACAAATAAGTGCTTACTTTTTTTTCCCCATCAGAGTTCTGTCCCATCTGCTTGTTCTTTATGCAACGAGTAGGCCCTTACTGCTGCACTGTAGACTGAACTGAGCTCAGTTCTCCCACCCCTGCCTGGAAATCTTCCTATCATTCAGGTAGTGAAATGGAATTTTCAGGGCAGAATAGCAAACAGTTGCTCTCAAATAGCAAACTCCACAGCTTCATGTATAAAACCACAGAAACTATAGACTAGGAATACCATGTTCATCAACAATCATCATAAAGATAACCACAGTAGGTCCTGAAATATCAAAACAGCACCGAAAACTGCCTGTGGCTCAGGAATTGTGCATATCATGGTAACTTTTTTTAATATATTTATTTTATTTTTAATTCTCTATTTGTTAGCCAAACAGTTTTAAATCTATTTCAAATAACTGAAATGCAATATATCCTCCAAAAGACATGACTTTCAGTTTTTGAACAGCCTAGTTATCAAAAGACTCCTAGTGAAATGCTACAAGTTAGACAGGTAATTATTCATTAAGTTGCAGAGATCTACTGTAATGGTTGATTCCCTTCTGCTGTTATTCAACTGCATGGTGCACATTGAACTTTCAGGATAGCAAAGATATAAAAAATGCTCTGAAGTACAGTGCACCTCACGATGGGACAGTTGTTTGTCCCTCCATGCATTATCAGTTACAGAAATGTATCATGGTAACTTAAAATATGCAATACAAAAGACATGGTTATTCCCCGTTCAGAAACAAGGACTGTGAGGAGCTACATGTCTTTCTCAAGATCACATGGCTTGGAAACAGCTTGTACTTGAGATGGAACTTGAGACCTGTGATATCTAGGGATTTCTACTGTATCACAGTTCTGTAGCTGAGCTCCATCTGTGGACATCCTAGAGTAAGTTTGCAATCTACTGGATGAAAGAAATTCATAATTCGACCATTGTATTGTGTCATGTTAGCTAGGAAACTATTGCATAGCTGCTTGAAGACAGCCTCGCATCACTCTCCACTCCCCTTTCATTCCTTCACCTCCAAGTACCCCAGAAAAGACAGGTTTTATAGTTAAATGTGAGTTAAACTTGAAAATAACTGCAACCTGGCTGGCTTTAACAAAAGGCTGTACTCTTCCATACCCTCCGCAGCATTTGTACACGGAAGCTTGGGATGCTGACAAGACCTCCATCCACGTGATGCCAGACACCCCAGAAATCCTGCTGGCCAAGAGCAATTCTGCCAATATTAGCCAAGTAAGAGACTTTCTGATTGTTGCTGAAGCCTTGCTAGGAGCTGTTAAAGCATTTCTCCCCCCTTGAAAATGCCTTCTCTGGCACTGGCCTCCCTAAAACATGTTTCTTTTCTGTTGTGTTCTATCTTATGCTTAGAAACTTTATACTAAGGGATGGGATGAATCTAAGATGAAGGACTATGACCTGAGACAAGATGCCATTTCCATCAAAAGTGCCAAGGCCTCCAGGGACATCGCCAGTGATGTGAGTGCTTCTGTCTACTCCCTTGGTCTCCACAGTCCCAAACAAACCAGTGCATGGCTAACGGGCCACACTAGTCGTTGCCTCCACATGTGTGCCTCAGCTTACATCCTACCTTGCAAGAGTTTCCTCCTAGTTATCACAGAGAACAAAAGTGTAGTTTTTTTAAAATTAGACTTGCTATGGAGAAAGATCCCTACTGACAAAGGATATAATTATAGTTCTTTTTATGCTAATATGAAATTTTAGTATAAAATTGTTCAGAGCTAGGCATGGTGGTGCTTGTCTGTAGTCCCAGTACTTGGGAGCCTCAGTCAGGGGGATCACCAGGAGTTCAAGGCTAATCTGGGCTATATAGTGAGCTCAAGGCCAGCCTGAACTACGTAGTGAGTCAGTCTCTCTCTTTCTCCCTCTCTCTCTCTCTCTCTCTCTCTCTCTCTCTCACACACACACACACACACACACACACACACACACTTGGGGGGAAGAGATATTTTATATATATGTATAGTCCATATCGTGTGGCCTGTAATTGTCAGTATGAGCATGGTCTTAAAGCCACATTTCTAAGCCTATATTTTGTCACTTTAGTACAAATACAAGGAAGCATATGAGAAACAGAAAGGCCACCACATCGGAGCCCAGAGCATTGAAGATGATCCCAGGATTATGTGTGCCATCAATGCAGGGAAGATTCACAGTGACAGGGAGTACAAGAGGGAATTCCAGAAGTGGAAGACCAAGTTCAGCAGCCCGGTGGACATGCTAGGCGTGGTGCTGGCCAAGAAGTGCCAGACTCTGGTCAGCGATGTTGACTATCGCAACTACCTGCATAACTGGACATGCCTACCTGACCAAAATGATGTCATCCAGGCAAAGAAGGCCTATGAATTGCAGAGTGATGTACGTAACACGAAAACTGGTAAAGTAGGAATGATGAGATGTACAACTGTCCATTTTCCAGTCACTTCTTCCGTGGGCTGGCCCATACATCTGCATTCTCAGATGAGGTGGGGGGCACCATGCATGTCACTTGGTACCAAGCCCACATTTAAGGTTAGATTAGGAAGTAAAACACAGAGATCAAGAGCCTAACTGATCCTTCCTTTAGTTCCTGGCCTTGATTCCAAACTAGTTTCTTTATGTCATTTGTAATTTCTGACAATGAAAATACATTTCAAACAAACATTAAACATATAAGTATTTTTAAAATAATTGCCACTGCTTTGCTAGATCTAAAACACCATATACTGTTTCACTGGTTCAGTTATTACAAGATTAAAATCATTTGAAAGTCAACAAAATTTCCCTTTAAATGTTTTTCAAGTATGTAATTGTTTGAAATGTCAAATAATTAGATAATAGAATTCATTATTAATAATATTTATAATTATACATAGCTAGTATAAATAATTATGTTTCTACGATCACCTTTGCCATCAATATCAAATCCCAAGTTGTAGATCTTAGGTCTTCTTGTCTTACTCTCTCCAGTGACTATTACCCTTCAACCCCAAGTGCTTTATTTTATAGCTGAAGAGGGCTCTCACATGTAGAACAACATCTTTGTCTAATGTCTTTGTAGAACGTGTACAAAGCAGACCTGGAATGGCTGCGCGGCATTGGCTGGATGCCGGAAGGTTCTGTAGAAATGACCAGAGTCAAGAGTGCTCAGGATCTGATAAATAAACGGCTCTACAGAACACCACCAGAAGCCTTGAAGTTCACCTGCATTGTGGACACTCCCGAAATTGTCCTGGCAAAAGCCAACTCTCTGCAAATGAGTGAAGTAAGAACCATCTTACTAATAAGCTTTCATTTTCCTGGGTTCCATATTTAGATACAGCAGTGAGAGCAACCACAAAGACCAAGCTCTTCAAAGGATTATATTGACAGGTGCAATCCACAAGTCTCTCGAGTTGTTCAGGAAATACACACACAGCAGAACTCTGACAACTGCAGTGTGCCTCTCCCTCCCAAGCACACTTTGAAGCATTAAAATGAACAATATCATTCCATGGTAATTCAGGGGAATAAATATTGACTTAGCTCCTATTAATACCAAGATATGACATAATGCTACACAATAAATGATATAACATTGTATGGGAGGGCCAGGGAGATGGCTCAGTGGAATAAGCACTTCCCTGGCAAGCACAAAGGCCTGAGTTCAATCCCCAATTCCTCCAAAACAAAGCCAAAAAAACATTGTATAGGTCTGGGTTCTGTAGAAAAATGTGCTCACTGAAATGTACAAGGGATGACCAAAAGTATACAGTGAAGGTTAAATTGTTAAAATTCACTACAGTAAAAGACACATTGCCATTAGTCCTCCTAAACACATCCCACTTGCCACTTTCTGAAGCAGTTCTGAGAGCTTCTTTTGTGTCTTTATGAGAGGTGATGCAATGTGTAGTGAATGCTGCTCCTCTGAGTGCCAGCCAATGGGAAGGCGCGTTTGCAAAACCTGTGGTATGGTGTGTCCTCAGCCACTTTATTAGTGGATCTGGTACTGTGCAACTTATAGCTCATTTGCAGAGTCAAAATGATCATGCAAGGTAATGGTTTTGAATCTATTCCAGTCACTGAGGCAGCCACAACAACAATGCAACAAAAGATATTCATGATAGAGGACTTCCAGAACTGCTTCCAAAAGTGGCAAAAATGATAGAATAAGTTTTTTTAATGACCGTGTGTCTGGTACTATAATAAGTTTCTTAAAATTTATACATTCATTGTATGTTTTAATCACACCGTGTGCTGTACATACAGATAGAAAGAGATTGAAGGAGAGGAAAAGAAATTGAGATTTTAAGGAATTGATTCATATAGTTGCTCAGCCTGATTAAGTACAAAATTTGCAAGTTAGGCTAAGAAGATCAGAAACCCAGGGAAGAGCTGTGGTTCAACTTCAAAGTCAGAATTCCTTTTTGGCTTAGAGAAAAAAATACTAAGGCTTTCAACCAATTGGAGGAGACCCACTCACACTGTGGAGAACATTTTGCTTTGTGTTTGTGACTTATGTGTTAATATCATCTGAAAAGTACATACAGAGAAATATTTGAAATAATGTTTGACCAAGTATCTATAGGCCATTGCCTAACCAAATTAATCACTGTAAGCACATATAGGAACATTTTTTCAGGTAAAACAATTGCTAAGTTCTAGTGTTTCAAATATTCATTCTTTATCACTGAATTAAAGTTACAATTTCCTTCCCTCTACAGAAACTATATCAAGAAGCCTGGAACAAAGATAAAACCAACATCTCCATCCCTTCAGATACCCCAGTCATGCTACAGGCCCAAATCAACGCCTTGCAAATCAGCAATGTAAGAGGCCTAAAGACATAGTGTGAGACCCTTTACGGACAGAACCTGTCGGTACCTGTCAGTGTAAGGAGAGTGTGACTGTGGACATGTTACCTGCCTCAGAAATGTTCATGGATTTTGTGCTACACTTTTTTTAGCTGTCATTCCCAATGCAAATCAGTGGAAATTTTTTCTGTCAAATGTTAGCAGAGATATATGCAAGGTACCTGGGCTGGAAGTTGGGTGAGGAGAGTCCTTCTGAATTTTCCTTCCAATCTTTTGTTTCTCGGTGCTAGGAATTAAATCCAAGATCTCATGTTTATACTAAGCAAAGGCTCTGTCACTGACCTACACCCCCATGCCTTTTCTATTTTATTTTGGGGCAAGATCTTGCTATGTTCCCCAAGCTGGTTTCCAGCTTGCAGTCCTCCTGGCTCAGCTTCCTGAAAAGTTGGGATTGCTAACACATGCTACCACACCCATCTTCCTTGCAGCTTTGGAGTCTACTCCCTGTATCCAATGTCTGTGGCTCAGTTTCTTCTGCATTACCTCAGAATAATGAAGCTCTAGTCAAATGCCTTCTGACTTCCACAGTGTCTCATCTCCTTTAGTCTTTTAATTGAGAACTTTCTTCAAAAGAAAGCCACATGAAAGACAAAAGACACTTTTAATTTTATCCAGAAAATAGAATGATGTACATATACCTGTGTCACATCCCTTTAGCAGAAACCAGTGGTGGGCAAGATCAGAATTAGCAAAAAAAAAAAAAAAAAAAAAAAAGGGACAGCCAAATAGCTCATCAGATTAAAGCACCTGCAAGCAGGTGCAGGGGCTGGGGGTTTGATCCCCAGGGCCTGCCATGCCAGCCCCACCCCCAGGGCGTGCTGAAACAGCAATTGAGACTGAGCGTGGTGGCCATGCCTGTAATCCCAGCTCTTGGGAGGCTGTAAACAGGAGAATCACTATGCGTCTGATTTAGTAGTGAGACACTGAACACCCTGTAGACCTTTCCCTAAAATACAAAATTAATAAATTAATTAAAATAAAATAAAGAATTTTTAAAAATGCTGACCTGGTGATATATTCCTATAATTCCAGCACTTGGGAGGTTGGGGCAAGAGGACTCCTATGAGTTAAAGGCCAGCCTGTACTACACAGTGAGACCTTTTCTCAAAAAGTCAAAAATGCAAATAAAATCTTATCAGATATCTAGTACCTTGGTGAAGTTTCTCTGGCTTTACCACAAAGTCTTAATTTCCACGTACTATGTAGTAGAACATTTTCAAATGTATACCATATTATAATGAATACAAGTATTCAAATGTGAATAAAGTTAGATGTTTAGCTTTAATATTTTAATCAGAAGTATCCTACACTTTACAAAGTACAGAGCCAAGAAGAAGAAGTCGCAAATGAACATCTTTTCTGTATGTTGTCTTCTAAACATTATGGCTTATGATTTATATTATGACTACCTTGAATATGTTTGCCTATTCTCAATTCTTATAAGCAAAGCCATGTTTTCCCTCAATAGAAACTGTACCAAAAAGACTGGGATGAGGCCAAGCAGAAAGGCTACGACCTAAGAGCAGATGCCATTGAGATCAAACACGCCAAAGCCTCCAGAGAAATTGCCAGTGAGGTAACTTCCATTTTCTTTTTCCTCTGTGAAGCAAATAGGGCAACTGTTTTCAAGAAATTTGATTTTTAAAACAGTGCAGCAGTTGCATTTTGTCTTGAGATAAAGTCTTTCTACATTTAAAAATATTAAAATGGGATAATACTGCATGGTCAGGATTCCTTGGAAACACAGCCCCAATAGGATGTACAGTATTTAAATAATGCCTGTATTGTTTCTGAGTAAAAAAAAAAAAAAAAAAAAAAAATCATGAAGGATTCTTATGAAAAGCTTTTGGAAATTCAATAACAAATATATCATTTTGTCCCACCAACTACTTCTATATATGTAGATGTAGCTTCATATCTGTTAAGACTTATGACAGAAATCATGCCTTCTATACAATATCACTTTATATTGAAAGCTTATATGAAATACTTTTAGTAACATTTTCAAGTTCATTTAACACTAATCTTAGAATTTACTAATAGTGAAAAGTATTATCCTATCAAGCTTATCCCTACTTGAATGGAGAAAAGAAGGAAAGGGGAAAAAAAAGAATATATATATATATATATATATATATATATATTATATATAATATGTACATATATACAAGATAGTTAAGATAGTTATACTAGTAATTTCACTTAATTCATTGAAAAGAAAAGTTTGTGCTAATATTGTTTTGAGAATTTTTCATGCCTATATCTTGTATCCTGAGTAACTAAAGATAGCAATATGCAATGTATTAACCATTGTTATCCTCTTCTTATCTTGTTTTGAATTTTTCTTTTGTTTTTAAAGTAAAATTTTAAAAAGCTTCTTCCTACTCCCAGCTGCAAATCTTTAGGCTCCTTTGTTTCCTTCTTCTTTGTCTTTATCTCGTGCATCCAGATGTTTCCTTCTTAGCATTCCACACACTGCCCTGTAATAACTGGTAACCAGCGTTGAGTCAGTGACTGCTCAATCCCAGATTTCTCTCTGTCCTTTTGGTCCAGACTTTCCTGTGTTGGCCAAATATGGGGAAGGGAAGAAGGAAAGGGAAAGGGAAAGAAAAGGAAAGAATAAGGGAAGGACGTCATCTTACTCTAGTCCTAAGATGCTCATCAGAGGACACTCTTGTCCACACACCTTTTTCTTTCTTCTGATTTTACTTTCCTGTCCCTGAAATGTACATGTTTCTTGCCTGTTTCCGAAGCCACTCCTGTGAATTTTCCTACCTGCGGTGCCTTCAGTACTCTTGGGAGAACGTCTGGCCCAGAGTTCCTCTTGCTAGGCAGCTTTGCTCACTGTCGGAAACAAGGACTAACACAGAGACATTGTGAGAATGAAGTGTGGCTATAATTGCTGCTATTCAACTATTTTTGAACGAAAAATAGCGGTTTCTTATGAATCAATTCTAACACATTTGAAACTTTCCTAATAGAGTCTAGCATACAGTGATTGCTCAGTAAACATTAGGCATTTTTTATTATTTTTGTTCTCTATGCAATTTCCTTCTTGATTTACTCATTTCTTTTTTTAAGCTAAAACTTTTATCATTTCTTTAAAGTGAACTGAAATATGTAATGACTACTAGTACTGAGCTAATTTATATTAAGGTTAAGAAATTGTTCTCAAATCACTTAAAGAAAAATCTGAACACATTATCTTTCTATGTCTTTTTATCTGTGTTTTACAACTTTAGTACAAATACAAAGAAGGCTACCGCAAGCAGTTAGGCCACCACGTGGGTTTCCGCTCCTTACAAGACGACCCCAAGTTGGTATGGTCTATACACGCTGCCAAGATCCAGAGTGACAGAGAATACAAGAAAGCTTATGAGAAGTCTAAGGCAATTTACAACACACCTTTGGACATGATGTCAATTGTTCAAGCCAAAAAGTGCCAAGTCCTGGTTAGCGATGTTGACTACCGCAATTACCTGCACCAGTGGACGTGTCTGCCCGACCAGAACGATGTGATCCAGGCTAAGAAAGCCTATGAACTGCAGAGTGATGTGCGTATGTCTATCATCAGCCTCTAGAGAGGGGTGTGTGTGTGTGTGTGTGTGTGTGTGTGTGTGTGTGTGTGTGTAATTACAGGATATTCTCCAGAGGCATAACTTCAGTGATAATCTTAACAGAGCTTAGTCTAGTCTCCTGTATAATTCATGGTACTAAAGAATTTTTAAAAATGTTTTCTACCTTACAAAGGATTCTTCTTTATGGTGGCAGGACCTTATTCACCAGGATGAATGGGCTCTTATTCTACAGAAGTCATCCTTGAATCCCATTGATTGCCCACCCAGCTAGCCTAAGTAGAGGTGGTATGTGGTCAGCAAACGTCAAGCTCTGTGGTCAGATTTGATTCTCCCTCACAGTGTGCTCCTTTTCTCCACATAGAATGTGTACAAATCGGACCTGGAATGGATGAAGGGTATTGGATGGTTGACAGAGGGTTCTGTGGATGTGCTGAGAGTGAAGAATGCTCAAAATCTTTTGAATGAAAGGCTGTATCGTACAAGACCCGAGGCTCTCAAGTTCACCAGCATTGTTGATACCCCCGAAGTGATCCTGGCAAAGATCAACGCAGTACAGATCAGTGAGGTGAGCTGGGTTGGTGACTTTTTCAGACCAAGTGAAGTCATCTCAACCAAGAAGAACTCTAGGGCCTGGGAGATGGCTCAGTGGAATAAGTACTTCCCTGGCAAGCGCAAGGACCTGAGTTCAATCTCTGGTTCCACCAAAAAAAAAAAAAAAAAAAAAAAAAAAAGAAGAAGAATTCTAAATGTGAATTTCAAACTGCCAACATCACAGCATCAAGATATGGAAGGGACTTATGTCCACATAGATCTTAGTCACTCATTTAGCTGCTATCTCTGTTTCACTTCCTTGGGTGTATCTTTTTTCAACACGAGCAAGTCCAGATTCTCATATATATTTAATTCATGTTTGGAGATTCAGACCATAAAAACACTCAGCACTTAGATCCATGACCATGAAATTGTCACCTCTTTGTGGTATTCACTCATGAAGCAGGCTGAGGGGTCCAGGAGCCATCTCAGTATTGCACACTGACAGTTATCTGGGCCAACAGAGCAAAGTCCCAATTAGCAGTGTGGATTAGTAGCTAGCTGTGAGGTGGACTTACCTAGTCAGAAAACTAGATGTGCATGAATAGAAAAGGATAAGTTTACTAATATATAAATGAATCATTTAAAATTTACATTGTGTCACATATGAATATAGGGTTTCTTTTATTTTAAAGAAAAGCAAAATTAACAATAAAAATAATGGTATAAAATTTTAAAACAAGATCATAAGGGAGTAACAATGGTTAGTACATTGCATATTGTTATCTTCAAAGTTGAATATATTCTTGAAGTCCCTTGGTATCTTTTAAATATGAAGACAGAGGGTGGGGGAGATAGCTCAGCCGCACAAGTGCCTGCCTCGCAAGCGCAAGGTCCCAAGTTCAATCCCTGATGCCACAAATAAATAAGTAAATAAGTAAGAAGACAAAATGTAATACACATTTGTATTAGAGAACATCTAAAGATAATTTCTGATTTCATTTAAATTTTTATTCCTATGGATAAAGAAGATGTGAGGTTTTTTTAAAATTTATATACAATGGAGTATTACTCTGGCAAAAAGGATAAACTTGAGACATTTCTAGGTAAATGGATGCACCTTGAAACCATACACTTAAGTGAAGTAAGTCAGACACCAGTTTAAATATTGTGTTGTTTCTCTAGTGTGAGAAGCAGAAAGGTTGTATTAGAGATATTGTGAAACAGGAAGAAAATATTCAAATGGGAAGGGGAACTAGGGAGGGGAGATGGGAAAATAAAGGAAGGGAAAAAAGAAAAAGAGATTAGAAGAAAAAAGCTTTTGTAAATGGGTAGAGAAGGATTGAAGGGAGGGGAGGAGAATGAGGGGGAAAAAAAGAAATCCAGATATATCATGTACAGGTACAAATTCCCTACAATGACTGTGATTATTACATTATCAAAAGTGTACTGGTGAAATTAATTTTAAAATAATAAATACACAATAGCATTGTATTCACGGGATTCAGTAGCCAGCCACTGCATTGCCTTTCATTTTTGCCAGCCACTGTACCGAGATGCCTGGGACAAGGAGAAGGCTAACGTGAATGTGCCTGCCGACACGCCCGTGATGCTGCAGTCCAAACTCAACGCTCTCCAGATCAGCAACGTAAGGCGCTGCCACTCACTGGCTTTATAGCCCTCCTATGCCCACAGCCCTTGTTTACACACTCAGAGGGACATCTGACAGAAGGCATTTCTCTACCATTCCACTTATTTCTAGTCTTTAAGCTTAAGATTCGCAGCTGTGTAGATCTGTGTGCACTTACATAATGCAGACTCCGTAGCCCTGTCTTAGGCTGACCATAACATTCCATCTCCCTGATCAGAAACACTACCAGCAAGCTTGGGAAGATGTCAAGATGACAGGTTATGACATTCGAGCAGATGCCATTGGGATCCAGCATGCCAAGGCTTCCAGGGATATCGCCAGCGACGTAAGAGCTCTTCCATGCCCCACTTTCACAAACACTAACTAGCGGGTGCTGAGACAGCTTAACTTGATTACTCAGGAATGATTTAAATAGAATGCATTCATTTTTACTAGTACATTATTTGAAAATTCCAAATTTCAGAAGAATTTGTCTAACAATTCGAGAAGCTGCTGCCACCTACATTTGCTTCTACGATTCTTATGTTTAAGCACTGATTTTTTTTTTTTCTCCCAGATCTTCTCAGGTTTAGCCAGTCCACAAACACTTCTGGAGACCTAATGAATACAGAGAATTTTGTTGTTATTCAAAGTGTATCATGTACACTTTTGGTGGTTCCTGAGATCATTTCATATGATATACCATAATTATTTCTTTAAAAGCTACATGGTTGTTTTAATGTGTGCTGGAAAATACTGCTAGTCTTTCTATCTAGATAGGGTTATGCATTTAAAATAAAATTTTAAAATAAACTTATAATTTAAGCCAAATGTATTTAAACAAATAATTAATTATTTGAACTTAAAGCAATACAAAGTACAGTTTGTACTTGTTTATGGCAAAACATCTCAAGGTAGCAGTGACAGAAGTTTGGGGAACACTGGATAAGGTTGTACTCAGAGATGATTCAGATGTGCAATTCTTGCCTTAGGGGTGCTCACAAAATTTTCAAATATATGTACATAGAAGAGAAGTCAGTGTAACGAGATGTATAAAGCATAAAGCGTGAGTTTGAAGAAAAATGATATCCAAAATAATCTAAGGGAAACTGAAGTACTTTTAATGGACTCTTTGGAAAAAGTGAGTTTGTAAACTACTACTCTTCTTTCCCTTGCTCTTATCTGCCAGTATCTGTATAAGACAGCTTATGAAAAGCAGAAAGGCCACTACATCGGGTGTCGCAGTGCCAAGGAAGATCCAAAGTTGGTTTGGGCAGCAAATGTATTGAAGATGCAGAATGACAGGCTGTACAAAAAGGCCTACAATGACCACAAGGCCAAGATCTCCATCCCGGGAGACATGGTGTCCATCAACGCGGCCAAGGAAGGCCAGGCGCTGGCCAGCAACGTGGACTATCGGCAGTACCTGCACCAGTGGTCTTGCTTTCCTGACCAGAATGATGTGATTCAAGCCAGAAAAGCCTACGACCTGCAGAGTGACGTAAGTTTGTCCCTCAGAAAGGAAGCCCTCCATGGTGTGGCATGCTGAACCCGTCCCATTTTCCTTCTCTGGGAAACCCATCCCTCTTCACACTGGAAGTTCCCTTTGTATATAACCAGATTTATTGATTGCTTATCTTACTGCCATATTTGTTCAGAAAGTTTTCATTCATTGTTTCAATACGCTACCAATTTTTTCTATTGGTTTATGAGTGTGTATATTATTTATAGTTTATTAACCATAAAAATTCATGGTGCTTCAGCTTTATGTTAAAGACAGAGATGTCTTCCTTGAAATTTATTTCACAAATTGATTCTATGTGCTTTTTCTACTGAGCTACCTCCCCGGCCCTAATTGGTTGTTCTTCACAACATGGCCTGTTATTAATTTACTCAAAACATTTTTAGACTTACTCATATTTATTTATTGTTACAGGGTCTCACTATGTAGCTCAGACTCATAGTGATCCTCCTGTCTCAGCCTCCCCAGCACTAGGATGATAGGTGTATCCCACCACACCCAGTTTTGATGGCCGGCACAGTAGCATGGCACGTGGTACTGGGGATTGAACTCAGGACCTTGTGCTTGTCAGGCAGGCATTTAGACTGCTGAGCTATCTCCCCAGCCCTGGACTTACTCATATTTCATACCTATTCAACCTTTTAGAAATTATGGGTTCCATAAAGTTATTTAGTTCTTATGTAGAATGGATACTTTCTTTTAATTGTTTGAACCTGGTTGCCTTGCACTTCAAGTGATACTTTTCCTTAAATAACAGATTACTTTGCTATAGTCCAATATGCCCATCATCTGAAATGAATTGCAAGTGGTAGAGTAGTGGTGGGCAGTTTTTACTTTTGTTTTTTAAATGATTTTGTCTTTTTGAGACAGGGTCTCACTATACAGTTCAGGCTGGCCTTCAGCTCACTTTGTAGCCCAGGCTGGTCTCTAAGTTTCAGTGATTCTCTTGCCTCAGCCTCCAAGTGCTGGGAGTACAGGCCTGTGCCACCGTGCCTGGCCTTGGACAGTTTTTAGTGAAATGCAGCCTCTTCATTAACATGAGCCACATGAATAAGCCGAGGCATGTAGATCAATCACGTTCTTTTAAAAATTCTTAGAAAATATTTTACAATCTGTATGTAATCCTTGAGTTAATTCTTCTGAATTTATATGATCCATCATATTGAACACTAAAAAACTACATTTTTTTTTCTTTTTTCTTGTATTTTAGGGCAGGGTCTACAGGGTGTTCAGGGTCTCACTACTAGACGGACTCATAGTGATCCACCTGTTTACAGCCTCCCAAGAGCTGGGATTACAGGCGTGTGCCACCACACTCAGTCTCAATGGCCGTCTCAGTGTGGCCCAGGGACGGGGCTGAGGCAGGCCTGGGGATTGAACCCCCATCCCCTGCATCTGCTTGCAGGCACTTTAATCTGCTGAGCTATTTGGCCGGCCCTACATCATTATTCCTTAAAGATGGTCCAATATTTTTTACTCATTTTTACTGTTATTTTAGCCTGTTATTTGTATCCCATAACCAACAACTAAAACACTATACTTTTTAATACTGAGAATTGAACTCATGACCTTGTACTTGCCTGGCAGGCACTGTGCCACTGAGTTAAATCCACAGCCCTTAAAATACCATTTCTGAGCAACATACTGTCTTTTTATAAAATTAATAAGTGGCACTTAACATAGAAGAATTTTATCTGCTTAACATTTTATCTAAATGTGGGAAAGCAGATTTAGATAACCAAAATTTTGGGGCCTACCCATTAGCTGAGTTGTTTAAGTGCCTGCTTAATTAAGCAAAGCAGTCAGTTTCAGGATGCTGTGATTTGATCCCCAGATCCTCATGCCTTACTAGACCTGCCCTTAAGGCATCCTGAGCCTGCCCTCCCCCCCAAAAAAAATAGATAACCAAAATTTTGCAAATCCCAATTAAAAGGGACATGTTATCTTAGGTAAAAGAAAACTCAATTGAGACCCAAATTATGCATTGGTGATTGAATTCTTTTTTATTGAGACAGGTACTCACTGTGTCTCCAAGGGTAGCTTCCCACTCTAGTGATCCTTCTGTTTCCACTTCCTGAGTTGCAGGAGCTCATGTCACCAGGTCCAGCTCTACATTTTTTTACTTTTAAAAAATTATTTGTAAATATGTCACACACCAGGCATTGTGTTAGCACTAACGGTACAAAGGTGAATGAGGAGAACAAAAATAAGACCTGATTTATGGGTTTAGCGAGTACATATTGATAACAAAGAAATAGATGCTACTTACAGAGTGTCCAGTGAAGAAGCGCAGACGGGGGCAGTGAAGCGGGCACTGTGGGATGCCCAGCACCTGCGCTGGGCGCCGAGGCTGGGGGCAGTGCGTCCAGCACACAGGAAGAAAGAATGTGTGATGAGGAGCGGCTGGAAACCGGGGAACAGGGCCCAACAGCCCAGCTCCTAGCCCAGTCACGGATTTGGATCTTTATCCCAGAGTGAATGGGGAGCCATTGGATAGGGGGAGACTTCTCACATCAGATCTGAAAGAAGTTTAAAACGTTCACTCTGGCTGCTCTGTAGACAACTTACCAGAGAGCTTATTGCTGTAGCTTTGAAAAGCCCCACTAGATAGTCTACCGAGGGCCTAAGTATTAGTCAGAAATCATCCAGGCACACGAAAGCTGCTTCCGCGTCATCCCGCCTTCCAGAACCTTCTCAGGCATCCTGCCACGGAAAGCAAAGCACAGCAATGCTGCTGCGCATGTGAGGAATTCTGTTTGCCTGGCTGGCACTCAGTTTTAAACTTTGCGATGGAAGATAAAATATAGCACTAAAAACTGCTTCCTTATTTAAACCCCACCATCAAAGACAAAACATCCTGCTCCAACCTAACCTTGCTGTCCTTTTTAGGCCATCTACAAGGCTGACCTGGAGTGGCTACGGGGCATTGGCTGGATGCCTGAGGGATCTCCTGAAGTCCTGAGGGTCAAAAATGCCCAGGAGATCTTATGTGACAGTGTCTATCGGACACCTGTGGTGAAACTCAAGTATACAAGCATTGTTGACACCCCTGAAGTTGTCCTTGCTAAATCGAATGCTGAAAATATTAGCATTGTAAGTCACTGTGTTCCTAGGAAAAGTGAATTTGAGTTATAAATTTTAAAAAATTAACCTGGTATTCATTTTCTAAGAATAATATTGATGAGAACAAAAACCTTAATAAGTAACATCAACAGCATTATTTGTCTTTGCTTATTGATCTTAAATGACTCAAAGTATTAATAAAAGACAATATAGATTCTGTATCAATTCTGACTTACTTTTGTGAAAAAGTTAGTCAGAATTTTTGTGGAAAAAAAGATTTTTTTTTATCAAATCCAAACAAAAGTAAAAAGTTATCCACTGGCACTAAGAAAATTACAGATTGCAAAGTGATTTTGTTATTATTGGTTCTTTCCATAGCCAAAATACAGAGAAGTTTGGGACAAAGATAAAACTTCAATCCACATTATGCCAGATACTCCAGAAATTAATCTTGCGCGAGCCAACGCTCTCAACGTGAGCAATGTAAGTAGCATACATTCCCTTTTTTGGAAAGTTAGCCAGCTGTTGCCCTCGCATGGCCGGGGAGTCTGTATAGCTGGGGGAGAGGGTCGCCCACCTGGCCCGGTGTTGGGAGGTCTCCTCGCCAGCAGCCCTCAGCCAGGAGTGAGGAAAAGAACAGCTTCCTGGCTGAGTCCCTGAGCAAGGCCACTGACTGGTGAGCCGTCAACGAAACAAAAGGCAGAAGGAAGTAGGGGCAGAGAAGCCTGAGGAGGAATAAAGAGAAGCATAAGCAAGAAAAGAGAGATGGCAATAGACTGAGGGGAGCTAAAACCAATAACAATTCTTTGTGAAAGACCAATTTAAAGACCTGGATCTATTAGGGATACTCCAGGAAATTATAAATTACCAGAACTGACCACAGAAAAATACGGAAAACACATGGAAAGAAGTTAAGAGGGTTACTAAACATGTTCTCTTTTCCTCTCAAAGAACCCTGATGATGTCATAGAATTCTTTCAGAACTTTAGGAAATAAACTCCCGTGAGTTTAATAATAATAAAAGAAAGAAAACTATCACAATTAACAAAATTTGGTAAAAGTCCTGCAAATAAAGCTGTAAACGAATAATAATGAAAAGTATCTTAAATAAAATATTAACAAATGAAATTCAAAAGTACACTCAGATCATATGATAAAACACCTTGGGTTCATTCAGGAATGCCAAGAGGACTCCATATTCAGAAACATCATAGTATAATAGCACATAATTTATTTTGTTAGATTTAAAAGGACATGTGACCAAATCCAATATTTATTTTTAAAAATAAAATCCTTGTTTTAAAAAGGAATAGATAAAGGCTGGGAATATAGCTCAGTGGTATAGCATATGCCTGGTAAGTCCTGAGTTTAATTCCCAATACCAAAATATATATGTATTTTTTTCTTAACATGGCTAAATCTCTCAAAGGCTAGCTCATTCTTATTAAATAAATTTCTTATTCAAGCCAGGATTAAGACAAGGATATCTACTTTTATCACCTACTTAACATTTTGCATTTACAGTGGTACCTCGGTTCACAAACTTAATTCTTTCCACAAGAATTGAATTCATGAACTGAAGTACCACTGTACTTGGCCAAATGAGTAAGCTTCTTGTTGAAGTGCAAATATAAGAGTGCAAATAAGAGATAAAAGTTGGGAAGAAAAGATAAAGTTATTATTTGCAGAAGAAATCATTTGAAGCCTAGAAAAAGTAAGACAACACACAAAATACCTACTAATAGGCAGATTTCAGCTGCAGGACTGACTACACAATTCAAGAAAGCCCAAGAGAGGTGCCAACCTCATGGGTCACAGAGGATGCATGTGTGTAGAATAAATATAACTTTAAAAAGGTGAATAGTGCCTTGGTGCAATTCTTCATAGTTTGGAACTTGGCATCCTTTCAGAAGAATAATTGTTCTGAGAGAGGAACTTGCCAAGCAAAGATTCCTCACTATGTGCCAAAGTTCTCCAACCTGTAATGAGGAACCTGGGCAGGGGGGCAATTTTTCCAATATTTGGAAGGAGAATACAATTCTAGAGCGCTGATGCATATTTTAGGAGGAGGGAGGTAGGAGGTGGGGCCAGAATCAAGGTCGCGCTCCATGCCTTCTTGTCATTGCCTGAATCAGGAGGCCCTCAGTTCTTCACGACAGCTGGCCCCTTCTTTCTTCCTTTGACCCCTACACACTTTCAGCCCAAAAGTTCTGTGAAGTCTTCTTATATGTTCACTTTTGCTTCCTAAATTTCTCAGCTGATACCACCAGAACCCTGCCGCTGACGGCATTGTATGAACAAAACCAGCATAGTTTTCAAAATCATGCCAAAGTTAACCTATTAACTTTAGATATTAATGAGAATGGCTTACATTTTAGAAGAAACCAAGCATCCCATTTGCATGCACAACTAAATATACAGACATTTTTTACACATGTTATTGCCATTTTTATAATTTTAACAGTCTGCTACTTAAAACTATTTCCATCACCTAGAAAGACAACTCTCACAGAATATTTGTGTGTGATTTTATGGGTAAAAAAAACAAATTCACATTACATTGGCTCATTAAATCCTCATACTAACTACATGAATAACATTGCTCTTTTTTGTTATTAGATGGGAAAATTAAAACTTAACGTAATTTAAAATCAACTCATAAAATTAGTAGCTGAAGAAACTAGGTCTCAAGCCTCATTGATTTATTTTTTAGTTCAAAGAAGAAGTAAATTTGACTACATAAACACAAAAAATTATATGAAAATAGTATAAAATTATAATGAAGTGAGGAAAACAAAAATGAGATTAAAAGGTAACATAATGACATTTAAAATATTTTCTTGTATAATACATTTAAATATGGAGAATACTTTTTCTTTTGAACAGAAAACAAGTCAGTTGTTAAAAATAGGCCCACCCATCAGGGATTGATATTGCTTTTTCAAAAATTTATTCATTTGGTACAGGGTCTCACTACGCAGCTCAGACCCATAGTGATCCTCCTGTCTCAGCCTCCCCAGTACTGGGATTACAGGCATGCGCCACCATGCCTGATGGTGCTTAGACAACCTAACTATATCCCAAGCCCAGAGATTGATATTCTAAGCAGGTATCAATCACCTGGAAGCCAGAGAGGGTCCCTGAGCCAACCCCCTACAGGAAAAGCCCTTGTTCTGTGTTCTATATTGCTACATGAGTCGTTTCCCATTTGGTCCTGAATTTTATCAATATTACCTGAGCAGCTGTACTTGTAAACTTATGGGTTGACCAGTTTTGTCCCACATCGTGCCCACCTAGTGAGTTTCCATGTTCTCCATCTTAGACCTGCCTCACCATATGGTTTTGCTTTATAAAAATGCCTGGAAAAAACAAATTCTAGGGCATTCCACTTGGGTCCCCTTTCTGTCTGTCTCTCAGACAGGAGCTTTCTTTCCTCCAATAAATATATTCTGGTCTTAAAATAAATAAATAAATAAATAAACCCCAAATTTATATAAAACTTGACAATGCTTATAAGTATAAAATTTATCCAAGTACTCATTTTCAGTTACGCCAAAGCTGAAACTGTCAATAATTGAAATTCACCTCTTTCTGCACTGTGAAAGCCCCTTTAATGATGGTATGAGTATGATTACTGGTGTTATGGTTATAATACACTGGTATGAGTTTTGAACCTTGCATTTAAATTACTTTTATTTCTAAGTCTGTCATCCATACAGAATATAGCCATTCAAAATATGGACATATATTTAGATATATTTTAAAATATCTATAAATTAGTCACTACAATTCTTTTAAAAACAAGAAAAATAGGTATGACATTCAGTTGCACTTTTCCAGAAGATCTGACATTCCCAAACAATATACACCATTAATCACATCAAAAAGTAAAGCCACATTAATATGCTGAGCTGTAAAAAGCTCAAGTCAACAACTTTGGACATTGCTAGTCTTACGGAAAACCCACTACTATTATGGACTGCTGGGCACTATTGGGAGATTCTGCTGAATTCAAGCCCCTACAATATTTAAATGACAATGGAATGCCCTTTTCTGACAAAGCTAACCAAGAAAGTGGGATAGAAATGAAAGACTCTTTTGTATCTGTATACTCAAAATAGTTAGGATAGATACACAGCTCCACTCTCAATTCAATTAATAGAGAGGTTTGTTATAATAGTGTTTGAGACAGGATATCATGTCTTGTACAATGAATAACCACTGAAACAACAATGTGCAATATATTAATTACTAAAAATGTGCCAGTAATCAGTTGTGAAACTGTCTCATTGATATTTGTTTCTCAATAAAATTATTAAAAAATAAATAAATTTTTAAAAAATCACATCAGAACAAAAATGTTATATTGGGGAAAAAAAAACCAGAAACCTTACACATGTGAAAAGTTTGTAATTCTGAAGATTCCAAAACTAACTTGAATGAAAGAAATTTAACAATAGCCAGTTAATATCTGAACTTATCCCAATGCTATCAACACAAGGGAAAAGAGATTAAACCTCTTCATCTTATGCATGGAAAGGTAAGCCTTGTCTAACTACATCAAAGTTATGACTCAAATGAAAGAAAAAGTCTTATCAGGCCCAGAGCCTGGGACTCCAGGCACCATGTCATGTTCCATAATATGCTGTGTAGAATGTTGTTTTCACCTATACGCTTTCCTCTAGCTGGTCTTTAGTCCTGGGGCTGTATCCCTGAGATATTAATTCTGCTAGAGTCCTTGGAGATATTGGCTAAGTTTGACTCTAGATTAATACCTTGTTTTCTCCTCTTCAGAAAATTTACCGTGAGGGCTGGGATGAAGTGAAGATGAGCTGTGATGTGCGGCTGGACGCCATCCCTATCCAGGCTGCTAAGGCCTCCAGAGAGATAGCCAGTGATGTGAGTGTGGCCTTTCCTTACTTTCTCGGTTTGTTAAGCAGACGCCCAGGTGCATCAAGAGGGCATACTGTGATCCATCTGCTTTGTTTTCCACCTGCAGTATAAATACAAGCTTGACCATGAAAAGCAGAAGGGACACTATGTGGGCACCCGGACAGCCAAGGATGACAACAAGATCCGGTGGGCCCTAATAGCTGGCAAGCTTCAGAATGAAAGAGAGTACCGGCTACACTGGGCCAAATGGAAGAACAAGTTCCAAAGCCCTGCGGATATGCTCTCTGTTTTGCATTCTAAAAATTCCCAGGCCCTGGTCAGCAATGTTGACTATCGCCATCACCTGCACCAGTGGACATGCATGCCTGACCAGAATGATGTGATCCAGGCCAAGAAAGCCTATGAGCTGCAGAGCGATGTGAGTGGGCTACACTGTAGGAGGAGCTCCTCCGTTGCTTAGCCGTGACTTTTAGGCAGTTCAGTGCATTATATCCTTTTGTCATCCTTTCACGTCCTTATGCAGCCAAGAATTGGATATTAGTTAAGCTTTATGACATGGTATCAAAATCACCAAAACCAAGAAGGATCTTTGTGTCAAGAAATAAATGGTAGGAAAAAAAGAGAGAAAGAAATGTTAGGGAAGAGGAGCTGAAGGAAAGGGATGGGAATGGGGAAAAAGGGGGGAGAGAGAGAGAGGAGAGAGAGGAGAGAGAGAGAGAGAGAGAGAGAGAGAGAGAGAGAGAGAGAGACAGACAGACAGACAGACAGACAGACAGACAGTAATATCAATAAATATAGGGGTTTTTTTCTTATGATACCAGGGATTGAATCCAAGCACATCACACTCAACTGTGCCCCAGTACTCCTTTTAGCTTTTTCAGGACTGTCTCCCTAAGTCAGTAGATTTCTCAGGCTGAGCTGAAACTTCTGGTTCTCCCATGTCAGTCTCTCAAAGTGCTGGGAATACTGATGTGGTCTTACAGGGGTGAGATTACAGGATTGCTAGTCTTAATAATATTAAGTTAAATAAAACTACAGTGGAGGGACCGGGGAGATGGCTCAGTAGAATAAGCACTTGCCTGGCAAGCGCAAGGGCCTGAGTTCAA